ATCATCAACCCAGAAAACTCCTGTCTAATAAAGCCCAGGGATCATTATCATTATTATCATCCTTTGCTTGGTTCACTAATTAAAGCCGTGGCACACTCATACACGTGTTTTTACTTATTCTGACTGATTAGACCTCTGTTTAAGTTAAAGTTTGGTGATAGCTGACTCAAACCACCACTGATTAACAGTCACTTGACCAAAATTTCACAATTCAAAATGTGCTACCCACAACTTAACATATGCATTTCAATGAGTGGAATACTTACATAGCAAGTGATGAAGTATGAATATGTCCCCTAATTTCAAACATTATCAACAGCTCTTCAGAAGAAATCACAGGCTACCATATTTTGCATTAATTCTACACTGTAGAATTTACAGTAGATACTATCAAAATATGCAGGTAACGGTTCTGAACATCTTCAAGCATTTAATTTTTTTGTTAGTGTTTATTTAGACCGTTGTGTCAATGCTTTATCAACTGGACACCAAGGCCTAACTCTACAGCAATGATTTTAGATAGCACTGAAGAATCAGCTGGACAAGGTTTAATAGATTTATTGTAACTGTGGAATGAGCTGCAAGCCAAGCCGCCAGCTTCACCAGGCCCCCGGGCAAACGTTCAGGAGACCGAGGTCAACAAAAATCTACTTGAACAGCAACTAGAAAAGCAACTGGTAGCTGTAAAACAGCTGAGTCATATGACTACATGCAGAGAGCAATCTGTAGCACTGCTTCCATGCCTGTTAACATCTGGGAAACCAGGAAAGGCTGATCTATTAAACTTTTATTGCTTACTTTAAAATGGAATTGACTCTAGAAACACAACCACAATACAGATAAAGAACAAATATAAGTAAAAGCAAGTCCACTAAATGTGATAAATACAGGAAAGAGCGAAGTAAGGCAAAGGACAATCAACTCAAGAACTACACCAGCTAAACTAATTAAAAGAGTATGTAAGGCAGACAGGGAACAGACACAGATACCCAAATACAGAGAGCAACTTAAGTACAAGTGCAAAGAAACTAGAAGAAGGGCCCATTGATCTGAGAACAGGAACACAAATATCCAACAGAAGAACTAGGTGACGATGATCAGGTTCAACAGAGAAATAGATGAACCCGCAAAGAGCGTGTGAAAATGGCTGGTTTATGTACTGGCTGGCTGAAAACACTGATCAGAAACAGCTGTGAGTAAGTGAGGCTAACTGGAGCAGGTAAATCTAGCACAATAAAAGTCCAAAGACAGGGATTTTAAGGAACCATGATCCATGCGGCCCGTTGTTAATATAAAAACACAGACAATGCAGCTTTAATGGACTACACATTGTATTTTCACTATGAAACAATGGAGATCTTCAAAGGTGAGTTTTGGTAACTTCCTACCATCCAAACCCTCACTGAAAAATGTGTTGAGACAACATGTACAAAGACCAAAGAAACAAGAAAACAATCCAATATTATTTTATAAATTCATTTATTATTTCATTGTAGCATTATACACAAACAGGAAACAAAAAATAAACCCTGTTTTTAATGTTCTTAATTTGTACATGAACTGGTAAATTGTCTTACATAACATGATGTAAAAAAACAAAATTAAACAAGCATTCACATAAAACTGATCTAAAATCCCATTAGATAAAAAAGAAAGAAAATATTAATATTATAATAAGAAACAAAACCTAATATTTACAAAGTCTTCTGATAAAAGCGAAACTACAGCTATGTACACAGTGGGTGGTCAGGGTTCCCTCCGTAAAAGAGAAGAAACATAAAAAAAAAAAAAACAATCAATAGTGTTGAAATATGAGGATATGATTCACTGAAGTGCACACATATCGGACAGACCTGGGACAATCAGTGCTTCTTGCTTGTTTTAACCTCCATGGTTAACCGAACAGATCCCACCGCCGCAGCACAATATACTGACAATCAGGTTGCAATAGCAATAAAATCAATTAATCAGCTATCAAATAATCTGGCATCACCCGACTGCTATTGCTGAAAACACCAAGTCTCTGTATGCGTCCGTAAAGTTTATGGTTTTAAAAGAGCAAAGACACACAGTGGTATTGATACAAAGCATCAGAAAACAACTAGTCCATCAATTATCATCCTGTTGCAGAGTGATTTGTTTCAGCCCAACCTGCACCACCTACAGGCAAGAAAATCAGCAGCACTTCAAAACTACGCATGCTATTGACATGGAAAGTAGCAGCAAGCAATGTACCACCTGCAGGAAAAGAGTTTTTGTAGTTGGTGTTTATGAGTGTGGAGTTTGTGAGTGTAGGACAGAAATCAAAAGAAAAAAAACATTAAAAAGTAAATTACTATTATTACTACGATTATGATAAGAAAATTAGAAAGTTCTGCCTTTAGCGCTGGATATATAAACTTACAATTTACATTTTTGTTTTGTTTATTGCTAGAACAGTAGTTTTGGATAGGTTTCTACAGAAAATGTCTGATGGTCAGGCGCCACAAAATGTAGATTATAAAATCTTTTACAAAACATACAAACAATTTGGTATTTTACAGACACAACCTGAACTGGTGGATAATTAAAAATGTTTATGAATTATTCTGTTATTAAATGTAAACCCCCCCCCCCACACACACACACACAAAGGAAACAGCAGATATGAATAAATTCAACTTTAACATTCATCGCCTGCAGGTGGTGCAAGTGTTTTCAACAGACAGAGATTAGACTAAGCCCCAGCTTGTGACTCTTGTATATTACGTACACTGGAGTCACAGAGATAATCTTTCGTTAACCTGCGAAACTGAGACTTGCCAAGTGCTCCAACACCATACGTCATTTCATACCATTCACCCAATTTCTGAAGGTATTTCCTGAAACCTCAGCCTCTTCTAATGATGACGAATCAAAAATAATCTGGTTCAGTCAAGGAAAACTATCATTTTAATCAGTTTCTCAGCTATGTGCATTTGTGTCATATAAACAAAGATGGTGACAGGAAATGATGTCTCTCTTGCTTACTTTGTGAAAGTTGAGCATGAATGTATTGAATGTATTATTGAAACCTATATTATTACTGTTGTGTTCTTGAAAATTAAGTGAAATTATTATTGAAATTGTTTAAATAATACATTTATGAAGCTGAGCTGCATTCACACACAGCCAGAGTGACAACGTCATGTCCTGTTGCCATCTTTTCTTATGAGAAGACGTAGCCAAGAAACTGGTTAAAATGCTATTTTTCCTGGACAGGACCAGGTTATTTTTTATTCCGCATCATTAGAAGAGTATTACGATTTGGAAAATACCTTCAGAATTTGGGTGAGTGTTATGAAATGACGGTATGGGGTTAAAAAGTTCGGCAAGTCTCCTTTCGCAGGTTAATGGAAGATTATTTATCTGACTTGAGTGTATGTAATACATGAGTCACTAGCTGCTGAAGACTAAATAACTGCAGGAATGATTTCTTTCTTTCTTTGCGTATAGTAGGTGACATTGACATATCTACATTTGCAGGTCTGAAGTGCTGCTGCCATTTATTTCTTTTCCTTTCCGTGTCAAAGCTCGGTAGGTGTAGAACGGGTCTGACAGTAACTCCCCTCTGAGATGTGGCATGATAAACATGAACAGACAAGTCTGTGAGTGAATTACACTTTACGTTCTTTAAGTGTCTTGGAGCCACTACAAATGTCTGTGCATGACATCTGTAACAAACGTGGCTTTCTGTGTGCTTCTGGGGCAACACATCTTGTGTTATTGTAATATTTTTTACTCACAGCTAAGTGCTAAAAAGAGTAGAAGACAAAAAACGTCTTCAGTGAAATCTAAAGATAAGCTGAGATTGGGTGCAGATGCAACTTCAATCGGTGGTTTACTATATGTTTATGTATAGGTCTCTCAGCTGACTGACAAAATGAATGGCTCCCATTCAAAACCATGATTCACATGCAGTATATAACTGCCTCTCATTTGTAGGGATATTTTGGATCTCTAGATTTTTGAAGACCATGTTATTGATCACTATAGAAGCTCCACTGGAAGACATAAATTCCAATTGTTATTCTGACTGGAAAAGTGTCACGTTTGCTGTTTAATTGTAGCCTCAACTTTGTCAAAAAGCTTAAAGAGTAAATGATGTAGTACCCGTGGTAAACAACTTTGAACTAATCATTTTTACTCCTGGAAGACAAATAAGAATAAGCAGAACAATGTGCTTTTGATTCAAAGCTGCCACCAGTGACAGGAATATTTTCCCTAGATCCTGACTGTATGCGTTCATGGACTCAAACTCTGCATTTGTACTGGGCCATTTCTTCCCTCTTATTCCTGTTTCTGGCGACTGTAAAAGCTACACCACTGCACAAAAATGTACAGGCATCCTGGGCTGGCAGAGGAACCCACAAAAGAATAAAGAAGCCGCAACTGACAACTAATGACATCCTGCCATTCATTCAATTACCAGGACTGATTTTGCAATTTGTGAGTTTAACTCCCAAACCACATACACACTAGGATAATCGTGAATGATTATTAAGAGATGTATCCACCCATCTGTCTTTCTGAAGTTGAAGTGTCGAACAAGTACAGGAGAGACAGAGAAAGAGAGACGAAAAGTGAGGAAAAATTCTGCGCTGACTAGAAACTGCAAGCAAAACCGCAAAAGGCTGACAAAAGAGCCTGGTTGCCATGGCAACAGGTAAAGTCATAGATACAAACATTGACAAATCACTCTGTTCTCTGAGCCTGACAGGTATTACCTGTGCTTAAACAGGTAGAACTAGGCGATCATTAACCTTTCCATAAAGGATTCTTTGATTGTCGTCGATAACCTGTTTACTTTTTTACCCTTAAAGGGAGATTATATCGCAAGGAAGTTTCGAAATGGAATATTACCAATATTAACAGTCAATGTAAACAAAAAAAAAAAAAAAAAAAAAAGATGTAAAGTACAAATCTCAATACATTCATTGTATTCTCAGACACACATATATAAACATATTTACAGAGGCAGGAACACGAAAATACGTTTCCACCTTCAAACCCCAAAATGATAAAACATGACAGTGTTGATGATGCAGTTGGCAGCAGAAATGTGTACAAATAGTTCAGTTTGTTGTGTACAGGAGAAGAACGTGTTTCCAAGATGTAATCAGAAGGAGTGCCAAATCCATCGTAGGAGCCTGGCACCACAGTTCTGATGACTGTAATATTTGCACTATGTATTGAATGGCAAGTGTGTAAATATGATTATACATTGATTGTTAAGGAGTTGAACCAGTGCAAGCTTTAAATAAACACAATTCAACTCTTCAATGTGAGAACAGACACTAAAATCATCACTGAGTCCCTGCATTAGCTCAGTAAACAGTATGTTGACTGTTAAAGAGGTTTCACTATCATACAGTATGAGGGGAGCTCACTCCATTTCCGTCAGATCTATCCAGTGAACAATCTGTGCTTTAAGTGCAGCGACAAGGATGTGTGATCACTCGCTGGCTTCCCACCTGCCAACAAACTCAAAGTGTCTGTGATGGTAGTTTTTCATTAGGTCAGATACCATTAGATGGCTGCTAGCACTCATGTCAGTTTAGAATGGAGCATTAGAATAAACATAGTAGCACAGTGAGGATTTTGGTGCTCTGTGTGTTCGGGAATCCTTTACTGCCGTTAGGGTCAGGTGGCTGTCATGTACGTATGGATACTGCTGTATTCGTGTGTGATTGTGTGTGTTTGTATATACAGGTTTGTCTCTGTTAATTCTGGTGACGCTTCATGTGCAGGGCCAGGTGGTCGGAGCGTGAGAAGCAGCGGCTGCAAGCGACACATTTGAAAGGCTTGGCCCCAGTGTGCTTCCGGTAGTGTCTGGTGAGCTCGTCGGACCGGGCGAAACGCCAGTCACAGTTTTCCCATGTACAACGGTACGGCTTCTCACCTGCAAGACAGAGAGGAGGATGGAAGTGTTAGCAACATACTAAATTTTTTATAATGATTAGAATAACGTTTTATTGGTTTCTAGTTTATAACTTTATATCTGTTAATTTAATGATGTTATGGCCTTATTTCCATTCAGTGTCTCCACAGTGCCTTGCTCATGGGAACTTTAACAGGAAGCTGATCTTCTAAATGATAGGCCTTGTGGGAAAAACTCCAAGGTTGTGAAACTCATGTTCTTTCACAATAAAACCCATTCCTTAATTCTGATAGACCTGAAAGTGTGCATGAGAAAGTGCGTGCCTACACAATGTCAGTGTGAGACAGTGCATAACTGTCTTCTGTTTCACAAAGTTGCTTCAGTCACACACCATCACAAAATTTTTAAAACGCACCACTACAGCTGCAAGATGTAGGTTTTATTTCATTTCTGACAAGTTTGGTTTGTTAGTGTCTGACAGCAGTAACGCTGTGTATGTGTGCCATCCCAGCTCACTCTGTTATAAATATAGTGGTACCTGACACACCTTCATTTATAGTTACATTCATCGTTATCAGACTGTTTGTGTAGTAAGTGAGAAGGAGAGCTCATGAAACTGTCTTTTTGATGTTGCAAACAGCAGAAGTGAAGTCTGACATTTGTTTGTGTGTGCCCAAGATCAAAGCATGCATTTTTATGGTAGCTTTCACTTGAATTGTGTGGGAACTCAAATAAATAACCTATTTTCAGTTCTGTAGCCTGTGTGTAGACTATTCTCTCTGATAATCACAGGCAAAGTGTCTGACTGTGACTGACATGCTACCAACTCTGAGCATTTGTGAAGTAATTAATTCATCACTGAGGCAGTTGTCTTACTTGAATTTCCTGCACACTGGACTAATTGCCACTTTGCCCTGAGGGGTTCATCTGTAGATATTGAAAAACTGCTCGTATGTGGGAAAATGGTGAGCTGAGCTTAGTGTAAACGTGCTTAAGAAAACACAAGACCTGGACTAACAAGTCCTCCTAAATAAAGAACAAAGTGAGTTTCCTGTTAGCGTGTGTGTTGATCAAGCAGTCCCACTGGTAGGACAAAGACACAGCAACGGTAACCGTTTCAAATGTCGGTGGCTAAAACATGTTGGTTAAAGGGACCTAATGGTGGAGCTGATGAACACTAGTAACACTATGGAGCTGTGTTTGCTGAGTGGGTCCCTGTTTATATTTCCCACTGTAAGCAAGCGAACACGAATGTACCCGATGCACAATTTAAAATTTAAATGTTTTAGCAGGAAGAAGATGCACGTATCCCATTTGTTAGACCTCAAGGATACAGGATACGAGAGAGAGTATGGAAAGCAGAATTCAAGCACTGAAAAATAATGAGCAAAGTAAAGCTAACACGACACTAACCCTGCCCCACCCAAACGTTGACATTTCTCTGCTGTGCCAAAATGTATTATCGCCAAACAGTGAGCTAATCATCAACAAAGAGAAAAAACACCGTTGAATAGACTGGTATGTGTACAGCAAGAAAAAGACATATTTCATTGCCAAGGTGGACAATAATTTCTGAGAATCAATACAAGAGCACAAACAACAGTGAAAAGGAGATAACAAAATAAATAAAACTCCTCTGAAACTAGATTTCTCAAACTGTGGTTTGGTATTTTGTGGAGACAAAGTAAAAGAGTTCATGTTCTTGTTTATTTGTATTGGGAAAAAGTTCGTCATTTCAAAATATGTAAATTCCAGTCTGTATTTATCATTGGTTTATCCAACAAATACTGAAATGATGATTCTTGAGAATAATTCTTGGTTTCTGTTTTGTAATGTTTACAGTGTTCATCATTTTCAGAAATCAGGTTTTTATTTTGGATCGAAATATTGCCGTTATCCTGTAGATGACCCCAAACCGTCATTTCCAAATTGTCTAGGCCATTTGGATCAAGTGCTCATTACTAGCATGTATCTTGTTAGTGCTGATTAGATAGCTTCTGCTATTGACCATCAATCACTTAGTGACAGCCATGAGCAGAGAGAGGGAGGCCAAAGAGCACAGGGGGAAACAGGTGACAATTTATTCTTTATGTGTCTCTTGAAATGGTCCTTTGGTAAAATACCTCACTCCGCAAGAATTTAAAAATGTGTTCACATGGCTAAAAGTTAAAAACTGAATAAGTTGTGCTGCTTCTTATGACTATAAGCCTAATAATGGCTTTCAACACATTGCTGACTACCACGGATCTCCCCTTTATTCCCATGTGATAAAACCTGAGAAGTTTTTTTTTTAAATCTAACAAGAACCTAAACCCCACCAGAGGCTCAAAAGCAGTCCTGCCTCCAATCTGGACCATATCCTGTTTCTAGAGTTAACAGCTCTTAATGTGTGTGTAGAGGCGGAGTACTCATGTCTCCATATAAAAGGCTGAGGCTCTCAATCCACAGGTGTGTTTGGCTTTTGCTCTATTGCTGTGCCGTGAGGGTCAAAAGTATAGCAGCCTGTCTCAGACAATTATCCTCGAAAGCTAGCAAACAGGTCGCTGAAACAGGACACATACACACAGAACAAACACACTTAACTGGTATAAATTTCTAAACAAGTTGCCAAAAGGTCAGGTGAAAACCTATCCATCCTCACATGCTTTCATTTTCCTTTATTCTAAGGGAGAACACTAAGTTTTGTGGAAAAAAACCCGAACTTTCAGACAACGCTGATAATGGCCGTCATGTGACAAAAATCAGCAGTGCTAACCGATTAACTGAGATCAATAGGGGGCACACTGATGATTTTAACGTGTGTTCTCATCATTGAACATCCCAGTTTACCTTTAGTGTGCTTTAGAACTAAGAGCATCAGCGCTCAAAAGCCTTTACAGGCATTTGTACATGACAGACAGCAGCTGTTTGATCAGGTGGCTGATTAGAAACGGCCAACTATTATCTCTCTTTCTCTCTCTCAAATATCCACATCAACTAATGAGTGCACAACGAACACATCGTAAATCATAATAGGCAAACACACACAGCCTAAACCACACAAAGACAACAAAACACAGAACTGTACAGGTAGTACAGCAGCGACAATAGATGAGTGACTCTGGCACAGCTTCTATCAGGCTGATGGATAAATCCAAAGGAACATACTGTCCTAAGTCTCTGTGACACTTGAACCTATGGTATGAAAAACTAATTCCTCTGAAACAGCAATAAAATCAGTGTAAAATCAGAGGATCCACTCAAACAAAATGAATGAAATTTGTCTCATATTGATTTTAATCATATGCTGTAAATCATTTTACTATAAAGCTTTCAATTAAAGGAGGCGGATGACCCACTCATCTCTTTAATTATGCTTTTTAAAAACGGTCATGCTCTTTAATAGGACATAGCACCTTTAATCTAAAGTCAAGTTACATGTCAAATGAAGACATTTAACTGATGGTCTTAACTCAAAATGAGTCAAGAGTTAGACTAAACAACTTCATTTTCTAAATGTAATCGATAGTAAGGGACACAAAGATCTGAATCTCAGTTAAATAACAACACTTGCATCAATATATTTCCAGCAACAATGATCATACATCGCTATTTCAAACTGACCAGAAAAATAAAATACCTGAGGAGAAACTACTGATTCAAATCACACGCAATTTTATTTTTTTTATACTTTAAACCGTTTATGGCATAAATGACTCTACCTAGTCCAGTATAATACACCAGGAGTGTAATAATAACATTTTATAACTGTCTCTGCCTGATTTTACTGAGTCAAAGAGCAAACACTTTCAGGCTTTCCAGAACGCCCATAAACTCTTTGTGGACCTCTCAGCTTTATCAGCTAAGTTACTGTTTGTGAAGAGGGCTGGAGGGCTCCCTAATCAGGCTGATAGCACTCTACTCTTTACACATACAGACACACACGTGCAAACACACATGTACACCTACTAACACAATTACAAAAGTCAATGTGCAGAGCCATGGTCGAGGTTGACTCTGACTGTTATGATAGCAGAGTCGTCAATGACTGAAGATAGCGATGAATATCAGTGCCCAGGTGGTTCATGCTTCCTTCATGCATCAAAGGCACCTCAACAACGGCTGCAGTCCCCATTGATCACATTAAAGCTGGTACAAGTATTTAAATTAAAACTACCATAGTCTAAAGACACTGCCTTACAATCCTGCTTTCAAAACATTATCTGAAAAGTATCTTAAAGTACTCAAAATATCAAAAGGATAAATGATCATTATAGAGTAGTGTAATATGTTATTACTGTATATTATTATTCAATCTTGTCATTTGTTAGTGTGTAACCAATTCTAGGTACATTATTCACTACTGGCTACATGATTGGTAAAGCATTTCATCATGAATGTTTTTACATAGAACTTTAAACTGAAAATTCATCAAGAACAATATTTCTCTCTGAAATGTAATAAAGTATAACCGTATAAAATAGAAATACTGAAGTAAAGTGAACAGATTTAAAATTGTAATTCAGTAAATGCACTTAGCTACATTCCACCACTTGCCACTTCTAGTATGTGACCTACAGTATGATGGTCTGCGATCCTGTTAAGCCTGTTTGCCAGTACATCTTAAAGGTTTCACAACAGACCCATTTAAAACTACCCTGTTCTGATAAATTCTAGAGGTAGACTGAGCTAACGCAGCTGATTTGGAGGAGTCTAGTGGGTGGCACTGTACAGAGGTCATAGTACTAACACCAAATTTAAAGTTTCCAGGGCAATTAAAGTACATGTCTTTGACCTTATAATCAGCCCAAACAAGCTAGGATTTGAAAAGAAACTGAATGTACAAACTATACAGAGAGGACGAGGAGACCAAGCCAATTGATCAAATAAAAGCTAAATGCTAACTATACTGGCTGGTCTGGGGACTTACAGTCAGAATGATTTGATTTTCATGTCTCTAACTTTGTGTCTCCTCTCTCCCGTAGTGTGTCCTCTCTCCCTGTACCTTTCTGCAGGTATCCCTGGCTCTGGAGCTCTACATTTCTGATGAGCAGTCACTGGTCACATTAGGATGCTTGTTTGTTGTGTTTTGATGCTTTTCTTTTCTCTCCCCTCTATCCACTCACCCCGGCCAGTCCAGGCAGATGGCCACCCACCAAGAGCCGGGGTCTGTCTGAGGTTTCTTTAGTTAAAGGGGGTTTTTCGCTGCTGCCAAGGGCTTGCTCATGGGGGATTTGTTGGGTAAAGTGCCTTGAGATGATTTTTGTTGTGATTTGGTGCTATAAAATAAAACAGAATTGAACTGGGAAAACCTTGTGAAAAGATGACTAGAACAGTGATACGTACACGGTAGTATGTATCAGTGCTTAAAGAGCAAAATGGGATGTCCATCATGTGAAGAAAATGAAATTTAAGTACTAAAAGTGTCAGCATGATGATATCATATCATCATGCTGACACACACACCAACCCACACAACTTCCTGATACTATCACCTTAAGGAAAAACAAACAAAGGAAAAAAAAACCTCATATCGCTTGTTCAGTGAAGTGAAACAGAAATAAATGGTGGATGTGTGATGTCGGTACACATTAAAGGTTGTGTGTTGACACGTGACAAGAGTGTTGATGCAACATGTGTGTTAGTTCTGCTATAAGTAACAGAAAACCTTACATGCACAGTCGGACACAGAGGTACCCGCACGTACAGTACTGTGCTGGTAACAGAGTAATTCTGTCAAAATACATCCCTTACAAAAAATGCTGGTATCTGTTTTAAACTTTAAATCACACAATCAGACCAATGACTATGCAAAGACTTTATCAGTAAGTCTGTCTATTAAATGTACATGAGGGCACTAACACACAGGGACAGGGGAACACAGTCTTAAAGTCAACTGGCAGCCCATGTAAAGAGGCTATAATGTGGGTTATGTTATCTTTTTATATTTGCTGTGGATAAGAGACTGGATGCAGTGTTCTGTATGACTTGAAGGTGTGAACAGGGTTACCACTCAAGTAGGTAAACAGGGAGCTGCATTAATCAATTCTGGAAAAGATAAAACACGAATAACTTTCAAAACATAAGTCTGGCATCAAGCCAGCTTCCCAGTTTAGCACACTAAATTTAATGTAAAATACCATGTTACCAAATTAATTATGAAATCAAGATGAGCTCAGTGAGACAGATTGGGTTATTTTTTAGGTATTTTCACTGAGTTGGTAAAAAGTACTTCAGTAACAAGCAGTCAGCCATCAAGCCTGCAGGCACACTGGTTTGCATGTTAGGACTATGGATCATTTGTTTAAGAGGAAGCTAAATTCCAGTAGCTACAGAACAAAAACGGGATGTAGGACAGAACCTTGAGCCATATCTGTTCAGGATTTAAACAGAAAATGATATCAGTAAAGAGAGAAGAATTAGCACATAGCTGATCTATGCCTTGTACACACTCTAGTTAGGGTTTTGTTCATTTTGCTTGATTTGCATGGAGCGTTTCCTACAGTTTATAACAGCCCAATGTTTCTTTACATGTCATCATCAACTAAAAGTAAAGCAAGACTGGGCAGGTCTTGTATTGCCAGATCACACATTTGTGGGTAAGATTCACAGAGTGACCTAAATTATGCAAACCCGGCTGTTGACTTTTCACACAAGCACACACTGTTGTCTGTTATGTGGTTCAGTTACTGTAGGCTGCTGTGCAGTGAAATAATTGCTGAGCTGTCTTTCACTTGGGACACCTAATTCACAGAGGAGTGTCAACACTTCCTTGGCTGTTAGCAACCTGCGGTAATTTTAAATGTACCTTGTATACTAGTCACCATCCTGAGGTCAGGATTGATTAAGGGGATTACAAGATAGTTATAAGGATAGGAAAGAAAGAACATATTTCTGAAACATAAAATGATGATATTTTTTCCAGACTTGCTATCAGCTGCTTTTTTTTTAGGACAAGTAAAAGCATTAAAAATCACAAGGGGAGTATTTACTGGTGTATGTTATGTCACAGAATACAGCATGTAAATGTACTGGCCTTGTGTTAACCACAAACCTTATTTTCAGGCATTTGACCAAAAGCCCATTTACTTCAGAGCGAGGGGACTGTAAGAGCAAAAATGCTAACTCAGTTCTGGGTTTTAGGACTCACTACTATGGCACTCTATAGCATACCTGTATAATTTCTTGACTGTCTTACTGCTTTCCTATTGTTTTGTTTCTAATTGTCACAGCATGTTTTATAGTCTATTTGTCTTCAGTTTTTTTGTGCAACCACCTAACCACCTAACTTCCCCACCAGGATCCATAAAATTGCGGCTTATCTATTTATGATCATAAAAAGATGTTTCTATTTGCGTGTTTCACACTGAAGGATCACTGTAGCATTAACTACATGAGTAAATCTCCTAGATTCAGTCTTGAGGCTGCTGGGAATCCACAGGTTTCATCTTACACAAGGGAAACACATCGAAACCAGCCTTCCCCCCATTCTGTTACCCTCCACCTTCCTCCTCCTCCATCGTCTGAAAGAGGACTGAAAAGCAGGAGTAACTGGTTTGACCTTTGTTTTAATTGTGTGTCTTCCCTCTCTTTTTCTCCCCTCTTTTCTTCATCCTCCCCTCCTCCCTCCCCTATTTGTTCTCTCTCTGGGGAAGCTAGGAGGACAGGTATGAGCATGTATAAACATGGCGGAGAAAAAAAAAATCAAAAACCTCTTAAGCAAAGTAATGTTGATTCTGTTTTGTTTTTCCTTTCCTTTGTGTTCATCTCTATGATAGTTACTGGGCGTATCAAAACTGGCAATTTGACAAAATATGCAATGTAGGAAAAATAACCTGAAGTCAACAGAACTTAGAGCTTAAAGAGCCCATGGCATGCTTTTCCTTGTTTTATGTTACAATGGTGAATTCTCATCTTAGAATTAGTTTAAGGATTTCCTTGAATGGCCATGATCTCCAGGCAGCTGTGCGTTCATGCGAGCTTGCCTGACATCCACCGGTGCCACTGCAAGAATGGAATTTTTTGACTGCATGTGGTTTGGTTGATATACTATTCTACCTCCGTTCACATCACCATCTATTTCAAGTTAATCCACAGAAAACAGTGACGTCTTACCTGTGTGTGTCCTTTGGTGTGCCTTCAGATGAGAGCTCTTTGTGTAAACTTTGGTGCAGCCTGAAAAGAAATCAGATAGGGAGCTCATGAACCAGGCTGACAACAAAACATACTGTTCTTTACCCATGTCCCAGTGACATTTACACACAGCTAGCTAACTGCGAGGACAACTCCAAGTCCAACCAAACAGGACATTTGGCAAGGGGAGCCTAAAGAACAATTTCAAACTGTTCGTAGAAGGGATAACTTTAGAGTCAGATGCAGCTGATGCACTTCTCCTTCTGGATGTTGAGCATGAGTTCAGTATTTCTGCCTAGTTTCGTGGCAATGATACTTTAGAAATAAAGTAGAAATAAAGGAAAATACAGTCTAATACAAGACTAAACTGCTTTGTCTTATTAAATATCCTAGCAATCTCATTTCGACAGAGCTACTTTTTCCTGTAATAATGTGTCCATATATTTACACACAGAGAGAGACAGTGCATTATTGAGATATTTGCATACGTGCTTTTGATTTGGGAATGGAGTTTATTTACACAACAGTGATATTGGTAGACAGCAATTTGAACCAAGTGCTGGAGTGGCTATGCTCTTATGTATGTAGCAAACAGTTCCACATGAACATGCAAAAATGCACCTAATAATTTAGTGCACATTAGCCTGATTTTCCTCCACTTTTCAATCATTGTTAAAAATTCTTAAATAAAGCATGTTTAAGTGGGAGTTTCAAAGTGAAACACAGACAGACCTGGGTAGTCACAGAAGTGGATTCTTCTCTTCTCCAGCTCTGGATTGTTCCGCCTGTTATATTTGGGACCTGTCAGGACACCCTGGCCATGTGTCATCAGCATGGCGTGAGGAGACAACCCCGTCACCTTTATTCCTCCCAGACGATGCTGGTATGGAGGCGGTGCTTGGGGTGCTAAGCTGAGCAGCTCAGCCTGGCCATCTGGACTTCCTGGTTGGGAGTTTGGGGGTGAGGGTGGCAGGCTGTGGGGTGCTGTGTGCTGAGATGAATTGGGAGTGGCCTGGTAGTAACCATGGGGCTGTGGCATTTGGTGTTCTGCCATCATGTAATTGCTGTTGGTTGTTGGTAATGCAATGCAGCCGATGTTCAGCATGGCCCTGCTGTTGCTGGAGCTATGCGCTGATGAACTGGTGTGTGACAGAGTCATGTTGAGGTCGGCACAGCTGGTGATGGGCATGTGGTAGACCTGCGGCTGGGGGGGTGGGGGCCCAATGTGAAGCTCTGTGTCCAAATTTTGGTGCTGCTGCGAGCCTGTGGTAACACCCACCACTCCTCCAGAGCTCATGTCTGGTTTGATGAAAACGTTGTTGACTACAGGCGGCATGCTGAACACAGAGGTGAAGTCTGGCAAGGCCTGGGTGGTGGCGGTGGTGGTGGAGATAGAGCAGGGTGCCTCCAGCCCAGGTTCTGTTTTGATCTGCTGGGGTGTGAGGGTCTTGGTGCTGGACCGGTAGAGGCCTGTGCGGAGGTGAGTGGTGCTGGGAAGGATGAGATTGATGTTAAGGCTGTAAGGGGTGGCAGATTTGTCTTCTGAGAAGTACTCATCAACTACAGAGGCACTGTCGCGTCTGTACTTCTTGTCTCCAGTGTCAATAAAGGTACTCAAGAGAGAATTGCTGACTTGAGGGAAGTATTTCTCCAACTCTTGTCGAGCCTGAAAAGAAAAGAAAAAAAAATGAAGAGAGAAGGCTAAAAGAAGAATTCAACATGTATACTGGAAGAGCAATTTACAACAAGCTCAGTGATTTCCAAAGTGTCCTACCATGCCTTCGAGTAACACCAGAGTAGGAGCATAAACCTGTTCTCAGTCAAAGGTGAGCATACATCCATGTAAACAGACCAACTAAGTCAACTAGATCATGAACACAGAGGTGTGTCTAAGTTGTGGCTGTTCAAACTCACAAACTGAACCTGCTTAGGAGATGCAGGGCATTTTGGTCTATTCCCTGTTACTGTGTATATTGGAATTGGTCTCTCTCTGTTTTGATTGTCTCTCCTGCCAGTTGTTGCAAAACAGCAATTTAAAGGGGAATCTAGAATTACCACCTCATGGTTGTATGTCTCTGCCAACCAGTCAAGTTGCAGTTTACATGCATATCTGTCCAGACTCATAATATATGCAGTGAGAACCTTGAAGGAACAAAATGGAAGTTATCACTCTTCTGACATGCATGATTCTAGCGAATAATCTCTAGTGAGAATCATGGTGTCTTCACTTAGAGACAATTTTTACAAAGGAGTATAGAGTACTGATAAAGAACTCTGTCACATTGTTCTTGAGTCTGAGTTTTTGCCAAATTTCAAGAAATTTCCTGAAGCCGTTCCTGAGATATCGCATTCACAAGAATGCGACAGACACTTAAGTACAGACGTGTGGACAAACTAAAAACAACGCCTCCAGGCATGGCTGTCGCCAGCATAAACATGATCACAGATGTGCTGGAAAATTTGATTCTTCTCAAGCTACGAAAAAAGAGTAAAATCTTGGACCAGGAATATTGGAGTTTTTTTGGAGCAGTTCATGACAAAATCTCATAGTATAACTCCGTGGGTAAAATGTTTAAAGTAAATGAAGCAATCAATGGTAAGTTTTAAAGAGAACACTGTGGAAACAGCTGCAGATGCAGAAACTGTGCTTTGACACAGCTGTGTTCCAGCCAATCCACAAGTAACAGACACAAATAAAGCCAAAATATATTTTTTGGGGAGAATGAAAGCAAATTAGAGGATGAAAGAGATGGTTCAGACAGGTCAGTACCAAAACTTCCTCCTCCATCCCTCCATCATCCTCCCCTCCTTCATAGCTCACATTCCTGTTTCCCAGTGGAGCTCACTGCCCTGACAAACAGCCAGGATTAGGAATCAACAGCTGAAGAAGGTTTTCACCTACATTCAAATTTATGCTATCCTTCTGACTCCAGGGCTTCCATGTATTGCCATGTGCTGCTTGATTGGAGATGTATTAATTGTTGATAAGCAACTGCTTTTGTCTTCAGTCATAAAATCTTGTTCTAATGCCATTAATCAACTACTCATTTGGTCACATTCCTGTTTCCCAGTGGAGCTCACTGCCCTGACAAACAGCCAGGATTAGGAATCAACAGCTGAAGAAGGTTTTCACCTACATTCATATTTACACAGTAATTTGCAAATTTACATTCTCACTGTACAGCAGTTTCCCAACCCTTTCTCAGAAAACTTCCATTGGGACACAGGAAGTGGTGTGTTTTATAGTCGACTTGGCTTACAAAAAGAAGATGGAATGAAGCTGCACATGTGAAGTCAAATAAAACTCAGTAAGTGAAAAAAGTGTACATAATACATCAGTGTACAAATCTAGCACTTTTCTTCTTCTTTGGTTTGGAAGACTACTGCTGTTAGTGGTAACAGACTGACATAATTGTGTGGACCTTTGTCCTTTTAGCAGAAGTGATGCAGCAATAACAAAATCTGAATACAAGCGGTTTGTCGGACACATCAGAGACACATGTGTCTCAGCTTTGTACTAGTGTTTGGATCACTGAGACCTATTTTAAAACTAAGTCTAAATGGGCTCATTGAAGACCATCACCTCACTGATTTCTAGTTTTTTAAACTTGCCAGCAGCAACATGTCACTGCAACTTTGTGTAAGACTATCAAACACAATTTTCTTAATCTGCTTTTTTACTTTAAATGATGGGGGTCTACACAAACATCATTATCTGCCAAACTCAGAACCATACTGACCATTTTACAAGCAACAATAATCTATTCGTGTTTAATCTCACTCGTTTAAAACTGGCTTTTCGTAAAAAAAAGTAAGGCTTTTCAATGCATAATCCAGATTTCAATAATATAAAAATCTATATGCGAGTATGGGTATTGCTGTTTTCTTGTTACCAAGAAACACAACTGTCAAATCAGATCTACTCGTGTAACAGCTGTGGAAATAGTGTAGTGTTAAAATACAGAGAAATGTTTTCATGTAACAAGACTGGACAGGCCAAGTGTATGGCTAAGTGAAGAAAATAAACTGCAGGTATTTTCTTCTGTTTAAGAAGAAGGCATTATTGGCTCTTAATCACCATTTACTGTTGTGTGTGTGTGTGTGTCCATGTGGCTGCGTCATTCGGATTCACGAAGCAGAAATTCACTCCTTTAGAGGTTTGCAAACCGTTAAGTAAAGAATCTACAGAGACCAGACACACACACGTCTGTGAAATCTATAAATGAATGTGATATAAAATCACGTAAGAGCAGTTGTAGGTATGCATGCACAAACACACACAAAGGCGTGCAGGCACTCACGCACTTAACTATGCACAAGAACACAAACATACGCAAACAGTTCCCTCCATGGGTGTGGTCGATATAAGTGCTTTGTTGCATGAAGAAAGAGACAAAGAAAGAATAAAAATACACAGCCAAACCAAAACAAAGGCCGAAGGCATGAGAAACTCACAGTGGAAACCTAAACACTGTCAGGTAAAAATAGACCTGCCAAATAAATCTGAGCCTCAGTCACAACAGATACACATCCCATGAAGTAGGAATGAAGGGTGGGAGGAGAGACCAGAAGGCCCAAAAAAGAAAGATAGAAGCAGCCAGTTATGAAAGTGATACTAATGTGTGAACACAGGCAGCTAATCTAATTTAAACATCAAAATGGATTCAAAGTGAAAGTTGATCTGGATGATCTGTGGAATATGGGGGCAATTCATATAAGTACATTGTTCATTTAGCTGCTGGTGCCCAGACGTGATGACAGTTTACTGCTGAACACTCATTGTTCTCTACTGTGTAACTGAATGCATGTTTAATATAGAGCTGAGACTACTCTTTTATTCACTAAATGATTTAATGACTTGAATGTTCTCTTTTTTTGGAATCCCTTTTCTAAGAGATCTGGTGATTAATCAGAAGTCACAAATTTCTTTTTATTGATAACATGATCGGTTCATCGTAGTCAGTGAGTAATCTCATTACAGTACTTCCAGACTTTCCAGAGTTGTCGTATCAGTGGAAGCTGAACTGTATGAACTGCACTTCCCAAACTAAATTATAGCCCAGAATGAACTGGCTCAACTGATTTGGGACAAATGACCTTATGAGGTGCTGATGTGCTCAAGGTTGCATACAGAAGCTAAACAGGGTGCTGATGTGCTCAAGGTTGCATACAGGAAACAAAGGCACAAAGCAAAAGACAGTTTCAACACTGATTCATTGTGGTGCTTAAAGTGCCAGGAACACGCATCCCTCTGTTAGGGATGCCTGTCACCAGCGTAAATAACATTTGTATTTATTTGCAAGTGAACACAATCCATTATTTGTGTCCTGCGTGTCATGTGTTTCAATGTGGTTTTTAAACTTTGTACATGTAACTGTCTGTATGTGTGTTTTTTCAGTTGTGTTCAGATGCCCATCATTCTTCGCTGGTGAACTCACACCTCTTGTCACCGGTGCAATCTGAGCATTTGGTGAAATTATAGTCTTGGGCATTTATTGAGGGAAAAAGAAAACAGCCTCTTGGTTTCCTTCCACTGAAGGCTCCTGTGTTCCTTTCAGGATGGGAAACAAACAGGTTCTGTGCTACAGGGGTGCTGGCAACTGTAACCCTTGGGTGCCCTTGGACATGTCCCCTGCTGTTGATCTCTTTTTGTCAGTCTGATTCACCTTTGATTCACCTGCTTTTCTTGCTGGTAACATTTCTTTGTTTAGCCTCGTTTCTGGGATCTACATGCAAAGAACACTTTGCAGATATAGATCGCAGCTATCAACAGAGTAAGCAGTTTCCTAAAACCTAGTATATTGCACTAGAAGTTCAAATTAGTTTAGCTTCTTAAAAGGTATGATGAATGGTGAGACTAGCCTGGCAAAAAAAATATATAATATTGAGAATACAACTAATACATAACTGAATAATTTTCACTTCATTATAAATCATTCAAAATTAGTCCCTGACCAAAGCAAGCACATCCTTTTTGTCCCATTTCCATTAGGGAAATTAAAACCTCCAATCACAAATTGCAGTCTTCACTCTAACATTTCAGCCCCTTAAACTTCAAAGTAAACATCTGTCATACAACAGCTAAATGGAAAACTTGGCGTTTTGAATGAGGAAGTATGTTTGTTTATTTGGGGCATTTGTCCTACAACTATATTTAAAAGTGCCAATGTCTTCGATACATGAATCAACAGGCACGGCAACCTGAAAGCAAACTAGCTGATGAACTATAATTCAAAATGTCTCAATCATTTTATGTGCTTAACAAGTAGAATATATTTAGACCGAGTCAGTTAATAATTGGAGAACATGTACAACTGCTCTGCTATGAATCTTTCTTCCTGATAACACAGTCTCTTATCAGCTCTGTCCAAGTTTATGGGCTAGAGTGGAACAATATGACATCCATCCTTCATATGTTTAGCTCCATTTACTACAAAGAAAAAATGCTTTACTCTGCTATCCCTTTTACACAGTTTTTTACTTGTATTGCTTGCAGCTTCTATTTCCCATTCAGTGCATTAAAGACTCAAACCTGAGGTGAGACTGTAATCCACAATCTTGTCCCTTTTTGCTAACAAAGTTATACTGTAGCTGAGTACAGCTGCCATGATTTCTGGAAATGTCTGCACTTCGTTGCCCAACAACATAAATCACACTTTTATCAAA